ACATCATACTCAATGGGCAAAAACTAGAAGTATTTTCCTTAAGAACAGGAACAAGACAGGGATGCCTTCTTTCGGAACTCTTATTTAACATAGTACTGGAAGTCTTAGCCACAGCAATTAAACATGAAGAAAAAATAAAAGAGATTCAAACTAGAAAGGGGGAAGTGAAACTGTTATTTTTTGCAGATGACATGATATTGTACATAGAAAACCCTAAAGAATCCATCAAAAATCTACTAGACTTAATAAATGAATTTGGCAAAGTAGCAGGGTACAAAATTAATGTCAAGAAATTGATGGCATTCTTATACACCAATGATGAACTCACAGAAAGAGAAACTAAAAAAAAAAAAAAAATCCCATTTACCATCGCGGCAAAAAAATTAAGATACCTAGGAATAAACTTAACCAAAGATGTAAAGGACCTATTTGCAGAAAACTACAAGATGTTGAAAAAAGAAATAGAGGAAGATACAAAAATGTGGAAGCACATACCTTGTTCATGGATTGGAAGAATTAACACCATTAAAATGTCCATACTACCCAAAGAAATCTATAGATTCAATGCAATCCCCATCAAAATACTAACAACATATTTCACAGAACTAGAACAAGTACTTCAAAAGTTCATATGGAACCAAAAAAGACCCCGAATAGCCACAGCAATCTTGAAAAAGAAGGACAAAGTAGGTGGGATCACAATACCAGATATCAGGTTATACTACAAAGCGACTGTAATCAAAACAGCCTGGTACTGGCACAAGAACAGGCATATAGACCAGTGGAACAAAATAGAGAACCCAGAAATGGACCCAAGGCCATATGCTCAATTAATATTTGACAAAGGTGGCAAGAGCATATAATGGAGTAAAGACAGCCTCTTTAATAAATGGTGTTGAGAAAATTGGACAGCTACATGCAAAAAAATGAAACTAGACCATCAACTTACACCATACACAAGAATAAACTCAAAATGGATAAAAGACTTAAATGTGACTCATAAATCCATAAAAATCTTAGAAAAAAATGTAGGCAACAAAATTTTGGATATCATACGCAGCAGAATTTTCACTGATACATCACCTAAGGCAACAGCAACAAAGGAAAAAAATGAACACATGGGACCACATCAAACAAAAAAGCTTCTGCACAGCCAAAGAAACAATCATCAAAATGGAAAGGCAACCCACTGTATGGGAGAGCATCAATGCCAATGATACATTAGATAAGGGGTTAATTTCCAAAATATATAGAGTGCTCATACAACTCCACAAAAGGAAGACAAAGAACCCAATTAAAAAATGGGCAGGGGAACTAAATAGACACCTCTCTAAAAAGGACATACAAATGGCCAAGAGACATATGAAGATATGCTCAACATCACTGATCATCAGAGAGATGCAAATTAAAACAACAATAAGATATCACCTCACACCTGTCAGAATGGCCACCATCAACAAATCATCAAACAACAAATGCTGCCGAGGGTGTGGAGAAAAGGGGACTCTAGTACACTGCTGGTGGGAATGCAGACTGGTGCAGCCATTATGGAAAACAATATGGTGTTACCTCAAAAAATTAAAAACTGAATTGCCATTGGACCCAGTAATCCCACTTCTAGGAATATACCCTAAGAAGCCTGAAACACCAATCAGAAAGAATATATAGCAGCACTATTTACAATAGTTAAGATCTGGAAACAGCCCCAAGTGTCCATCAGCAGATGAATGGATAAAAAATCAGTGGTACATATACACAATGGAGTACTATGCAGCTGTAAGGAAGAAAGATCTCTTTTCCCTTGAGACGACATGGAGGGACCTGGAAAGTATTATCCTAAGTGAAACAAACCAAGCAGAGAAAGACAAATATCACATGATCTCACTTATTTGTAGAATATAATGAACATAACAGTCTGAGGAACAGGGTAGAACCAGAGACGTGGAAGTAGGGTACAGACTGACAACCCTCAGAAGAGGGGGTCGGGGGGAGGGAAGAGATAAACCACAGAATTTATATGTATGTACGCATAACCGATGGACATGAACAACATAGCTGGGAATGGGATGCGGGGGATGGCGAGTCAATGGGGAAAAAAGGAGAAACATCTGTAACAAATAAATTAATAAGAAATATATGACTAAAAAAAATTAGCAAACATTTATTGAACACCTACATTGTGTACAACAGCTTTTGGCATATACTTTGCATGTATTCAATTGAATGCTCAGTTCTGAGGGGCTTATCTGTTCCTTTTCTCTCGCACCTATATAATATTTATTGAAAACAATAAATACAAAGGGTTTATTCTGTAAGATGGCTTATGTAAAGGGGCACTTAAATTCTTGCAGGTGATGAGGGGGACTACTTTCTCATTTAAGATTGTTAAGCTGGCAGTGGAAGCCAAAGTCTATGATCACTTCCCCCACAGTGTATCTGGGAGTGTGGGTGTTCATGTCTTATCCCAATTTGTCAGAGTCAGTAATGGCCGTTTGTTTAATCTCTAAAATCCACATGGTATTAATATTTACTGACAACTGCTAATTCTTTAAGTAAATTCCTTTTTTTCCCGTCATTTCCTACCTCCCCCTGGGCTCACCTACCCCAATTTGGGACCAACCCTTGGAGATTTTTATGGATGTTCCAATAAGTAGGTTTTATTTTATGAGGAAGAAAGTGTTCAATTATAGGCTCTGCCCTTCTGTGTCCTGAGTCAGGGCTCAGCAGTGTTTCAGAGACTGAGTGTTCTGAACTGCTCCTCCCCTCCCCGCCCCTCCCCTGCCCCTCCCAGGGCCATGCAGAGCAGAGCAGGAGGGGCTGGTGGGCCAGGAGTTCCCAGTGCGCGGCACAGGTGAGGTTCTGGGCACCTCCAGAGCTCAAGGTAAAGTTTCTGAAAAATTGCTGGGGAAGTGTGAAGCTGTGCTAACCTGCAGTCTCAGGGAGTTCACTTCAACTCTATGGACCTCAGCCACTTGCCTGTAAAATGATAACATAAGGTCCCACTGGATGGTCCTTGAGGCCCCTTTAACTCTCACCCTCAGTGACACCTGAATCTGTTTTCCTGTCAGTTTTTTTTAATGACTTCTCATTTTAGTCACATTGCTGTAGTTCCGTGCAGGAGAAAATACATACAATTAGCTGTATACACACACACAGCTTTCTTGGTTTCATTTCCTTCTTGTCTTCCTTTCAGAGGCAAGTAGAGTCCTGACCTGGGCAGGCAGAAGAAGGAGCCTCCCAGATATCTTCCATGGCTCCCGTTGCTTTTCAGTTACAGTCCTCCATGCGCCAAGCTTACTACACTTTCTCACTCCGCTCTCACATAATCCTCCCCATGGAGCCCCCACCATCTCCTCAGCTCTCCTTGACCTTCCTGCCTCTGACTTTGCTCCCACCATCCTCCCTCCCAACATTTCCTCCCCTCCTCTTCTTTGTCCATCCTGGACTGGCCGCTTGGGTCCACCACGCTTCCTCTCTTCTTAGCCATCACAGTGTCCACAATTATGTGCCACTTACCAGAGGACTGTCTTATTCTGCTTTGTTTCCTTTCTTGAAGGAGAACACATCATTTTAGAAATCCTTGAATCTCTCATAGTCTTTGCAACATGGCTTGGACAGAGTGACTGCTCTGTAAATGTTTGTTGATTGATTTTATAGTAGGTGCTCAATAAAATATATATACCACCTTACAAAGAATTTTACATACCTCAATTCAGCAGATGTTCACAACAACTACTTCATTCCTTATTTTCAAATGGAGAAATGAAATTCAGAAGTTAGGTGACTTGGTCAAAGTAAAACAGTTCTGTGGTACCTAAGTGTGTGCTTTGGTGAAGACCTTGAGCCTTGGAATCTGACATACAGACAGCGCTTTGCCATTTAAGAGACCGTGGGCCCTTCCTTATTCTCTTGGAGCCTCAGTTTACTGATCTATAGAACGAGGATAATAATAGCACCTATCTCATATGGCGGTTGTGTTAATGGTGTCCTGCATGTGTCTAGAACATGGTTAAGGATAAATATACAATTACTTACAATATTACTATCATTACTTTGATATATCAAACTGCTCCCCTGTAAACAAACTTGTTGACTGTCAAGTGGCCACACAGTGGACACTCAGTAATATTTGAATATGTGGGCCAAAGAATTATTTTGTTTTTATCCTAGATTATCTCCTAAATAATTTTCCAATTGCAATCAGGTCATCATCTAAGTGATCAATCACGTTATTCTGCCCTCACTCCTCCCATTCTCCCCCTCCCCCCACCCCCACCTCAGACCTAACTGACCCAGCAGAGCCCGGTGCCAATGGGAGAAGGCAGCTGACTCTGGGCAGCAGCCAAATGTGGAAACCGGGGTTTGCCTCTGGCTGGAACTTGGACCGTTGCACTTGTCATTTACCATGCCTACGAATCAGCTGCAGAAATCACAGGCTGGTGGTGAGATGGTTTGTAACCTGCTAAGGGTAGACCCACTTCCAGGGTTTGGCAGAGACACAGCTGCACAGTTCACAAGATGAAGTCAACGGCTCCTTTCTTCCAGGACATAAATGACAGACACACAGGCAAACGATGGTCCAATGGAGGGTAAGATTAGAGGGAATGTCCCTAATGATTTCTCCAATGAGAAGCAGTTTTGTTTTCTCTTTGCCTCTCAGGGCACTACACCAACCACTCACCAGGAAAACAAGTGTTGGTGCCAGAGTCTTCTGTGGGTTCCAGGCCACTTTTTTTCAGAGGCAGGTACTTGAATCTCCCTGCTTGTGGCTCAGGGGTCATTCTATATGTCCTCTGGGAGTCTGGGGGTGTGTCATAATGGGATCAGGTGACAGTGATTCACACGTCTCTGGGCTAGGCTGTACCCACCTTGCTTGTTGACATTTTTTTCCCTGACAGCTGGTTATTCTCAGGCACAGATTACTTTCCTTCTCAACTTAATTTATTAGAACTATTTTGACAAAGCTGCTGGGCAGGGAGGCTGGTGTGAAGTAGGAAAGCCAGCAGGAAAGCCTCTGGGGCACATGTCTGGGCTACACTCCCCAAGCTTGCCCCCTCCACTGGTCTGCCCCTTGTCCGGGACCCTACCTGTCTCCTCCCTCTGCCCTGGCGATCCTGCCCATTAGCCAGCCTGCTGGGGAGCAATCAGATTAACTAGTGGCTGAGGAAATGCACGTACTGCTTGAGAAACAGAAACAACACACAGCAAACTTCACTGGAGGACTTGAAAGTATCAGAGACCTTCAGAGCCACCCCATCTGCCCTGCTCACAGAGGGGCAGAGGGGACCGCCCCACCTCCTCCTGAAGAAAGGTGAACTTTATGATTTATATCACACTGCCCGATGCCCTGGCTACTGCTGACTGGACAGAGAAGGGCAACTGTGCCAAGGGCAGTTGTAGAGGCTGGTGCAGCCCAGTGAGCTGGCCTGGTGCGAGAGCATTGTTTATAAGGGATGGCAATGATCAACTGGACTAACTGCATTTTCTCTCTCTGGAGTTTGAACCTTAGATCTACAGAGAAAGTTAGAGAGCAAAGACAGGTGGAAAGACAGCAGGGAAGCCATGGTGGACAGATAAGCTGCTGGGGAGCAAAGCTCAGTGGCAAGGGGGTGGGAGGGTGTGGAGCCCTCACCAAGCCTCTCCTTCCCACACTGGGCGCTGGTCTCAGGCTCCTGCCCAGCCCAGGCTTCTGCATGTCCATCCAGACTCTCAAAAAGAGCCCTCTCTGTGAGACAAACTCTGTGGGTCTCTCTTACTTACCACCCATGGAAGCTAATAAAGAATTCACATGGCCTGGTTTATCGTTGAGGGAGTCCCAACTGGGAGAAAAGCCTGCTCTCAGAGGTGGGGGTTGGGAAGGCAGTGACAGAGGCAGGGAAGGAGGCGAGGAGAGCTGATTCCCAGTTAGAGTGAGGTGCCATCGTTCAAAAACTTTCTGTCAAATGTTGTTATATTTGCTGCTTGTGTCTCCCTTGCTTACTTCACGAACCTTCCCTAGTTTGTCCACAGGGAACACAGTTTAGGAAAGGGGGCAGAATGAGTAGAAATCTTCACCCAAATGCAAACCTATTTACCTGTCGTGTGTTCTAAAGGCAGCTCCAGGCCAGTTTTGCATTTAGGTCTAAAACTCTATTGAGACCTTGTTGCCCATACCCCGATATTTAATGGAAAGAGAGCTCACAGGGAGCTCTCCTTATCCCATGAGAAATGACGACAGGAAAGGTCTTACTCTGATAGGCTTAGGACCTCAGGAAAGAACCCGCAGGGCCAAACTTTGTACTGGGTGAAATAATCCCTAACACGAGGCTTACAGCTCACACCCTCTTTCCTCACAGGCGCATGGATCCAGTCCGGGTTGCCGTTGTGGGGGCAGGGGTCATGGGGCTCTCCACCGCTCTGTGCATTTCCAAGCTGGTCCCACGATGCTCCATCACGGTCATTTCAGACAAGTTCTCCCCTGGAACCACGAGTGATGTGGCAGCTGGAATACTTATTCCTCATGCTCATCCAGGTGAGAGGGCTTTTTGCTCCTCTGCGGGTCACGGTAGATGTCAGGCAAAATGACGTTAGAGGAATTGTTTGTTCTTTAGGGTAACTTCTGCAGTGTGTGGATCTCAGCCACTATTTTGTTTTTAAGGTTTAGGGTGGGAACAGGAGAATGCATTTCAATATAGCCTCATACACTGGCCTAGATCATTGGGGTATAATCCTTAGAGGTCTAATTTAGTTTTCTTTGCAACTTATTCTTTTCTTTCTTTTTTTCTTTTTTTTTTTTTTTTTTTTTTTGAGAGAGTGAAAGGGAGGAAGGGAAGGGGGGAGAGAGAGAGAGAAACATTGATTGGCAGCCTCCAGCATGACCCCAACTAGAGCAGGGGATTAAACCTGCAATTCAGGTGTGTGCCCCCTACGAGAATCGAACCTGAGACCCTTTGGTTTGGCTGACACTCCAACCACTGAGCCAAACTAGTTAGGGCTGCAGCTTATTATTTATTTTTTCCTGATTTCTACACCAGTGGCCCAGTGCGCAATTTTGGAATAGTGTTGAGTTCACATGGGCAAGTGTTTAAAGACAGCACAGAGCCACTCCTAAAGAAATATTTATGGGCTTTGTAATAAGGTTTAAAACCCTGCTACTGAAATGCCCTCATTGACCTGGGGCGGGGGTGGGGTGGGGTGGGGTTCTTTCTCCTGTTGTTTTAACTGTATAGCCAGCTGGATGACTCAGCCACAAACTGACTTCTACTCGGGTTGGTTATGGACCCTTCAAGGACCACTGAATATACCTGGTGCCCAAGACCACCTGTCAGCTGGCTCACTTATCAAATGTTTCCCTGATTGGTTGGTTTTCCCTGTGTAGATTAATTATTATACAAACGGCACCTTAATTCCACCCCCCCACCCCCCCACCCCACCCCCAGTTTCTAGGAAGGAGCTTATCTGAAGCATAGTCATTATCATCATTTTCCTTTCTGTTCCATGTTTCTTCTTGATGATAGACACACCCATTCACAAGCAGAAGCAATGGTTTAGAGAGACCTTTGATCATCTATTTGCAATTGCCAATTCTGCAGAAGCTGGAGAGGCTGCTGTTCATCTGGTGTCTGGGTAAGAGAGGAAAGTTGAAGTTAATTTAGAATTTAGAATGATCTTAACAGACTTCAGAGTTCAGCATAAATTATTATTGAGTGTCTGCTGTGAGCAGAGTGCTGACCTAGATGTGGGAGGATTTAGAAGAAGATTTTAGGCTTTATTCCAAAGAACTCAAGAAAGACAAATTATAGTATTAGACTTTTTAATAATAAACAACCATTACAGTTTCTCATCACAGATACTATTTTGAGTTTCCTCGGGGGTTGTGCAGTGAATTGCAAATATGGCTACAAAAATATGTCAGGTAAGCAGTGAGCTTGGGCTATGTGAGGATAATGTGGCTGATGGAAAGCAAACAGGTATGACACTGGAATGGGGACAGAGACCCAAAATATAGGGACAGCTTATATATTTAGTGTACTTGGAGAAACTTATATTCCAAAAGTGTAAATTTTGTAGGTCACTAGATTTACCTTTTGAAGTGCCACTTGGGAAAAAATATCTCTGAAATGGTTAGCCTACCCCTATTTAATTCTTCAGGTCTGATTTCAGGAGACATGCACAATTGAACAAAAGAGTTTAAAAATAAATCCTAACACAAACTAGCACTTAAAATATGACAATGTCTTTTTATATGGTCTTAAATAGAGATCACTAGCCATTCTATCATTTTTAATTTATGACACAACCTGTATGTCTGTGTTATCCTGTGTTATAACTGCTGACTCTTGGCCTGCTGGGGGTTGTCGCAATGCAATGAACTACAAGCAGACACGGCTTGGAGTGAGAGCTCAGAGTGAGGGGGAGCATCGCAAGGGAGCAAATGCTCCAGATCTCTGGATGCAGCCCAGTTTATTTGCAAAGTGATTCCCTAGGTTACATGGTGTTTTAGGTTATTAAGCCCTTGAGATCATGTCTCTGCTGACCTTACTACCAAATCCAGAATACTTCCTGTTCTAGCTGTCTCTTGCTGATTTCAGTGGAGATACTTAACAAGCACATTCACACTTGGGCGATAAGCCCATTGGCACTTTCAGGGAGGCTTTCCAAACCCAACATGCATACCTTATCTATTCTCATGCATATTTTGACCACACTTTCAGGGTGGCTCCAGCCCATCATGCATGCCTTATCTATTCACATGTATACTTTGATCCTTGGCTGGTCCCCAACCCTATAATAACACAATCATACTCTTCAGCCTTTGGAAGAGCAGAGGGATGTTTGCCTTTTGCTATATTCTTAAGTCCACTTCACCTTTTGTGCTATTTTAAAAACAAAAACAGAAACAAAAGAAACTGTCCTATCTTCTCTTTTGAGATTAGGCTGTCTGCATGCAGATTTCTACCCTTTTCCTTTTCTTGCCCTACCTCCTCTTCACAAATACCAGATTATGTTGACATCACTAATTTCCCAAAGTCTTTGTCCAAAGTAGCAATTTTCACTTTTTTACCTTGCAAAGAAGGATTGGTACTATAGCTGTCTCCAAAGCCAGCTGATGACAGCTCCCATTAACATATGGCTACCCTTTGTTTCTGTACAAAACCAATGTGGTCCAGTCTAATTCACAAACTTTGGCCCTATGTCCAAAATTCAAATATCCTTTCAAGAGTAAGACTTTGCCACTACTAAAGGATATTAAAGAATGTACTTTAAGCTATTCTAAAAGAGCTATTTATTTCTTTTCACGAGTGCTTTTTATCCCATTTGCTTCCAAAAAGGATTTGGATCAATCAAGCAAAGACAAGGGCAAAGTGTCCTGTGCATCTTTGGCTTAAGTACCTTATTCATCTATTCATTCCTTCAAAACAAAATTTCAGCATTCCTCAGTATAGGGTACTGCCTTAGGTATTAGGGATATATAAATGAGCAATTTAGTACATACTTCTTTGGCATACAGTAGATTCTCAATAAGTATGTGCAGAGTGAATTTTTAAGAAAGGCAGATATGGTCCCACCCTCATGTAGCTTATGGTCTGTGGATAATGTCCTAAATCTAATGAGTTACAAATGAGACACAAGCTACCAAGGGAAGAGTGCAGGGTGTTATGAAAGCAGTTGTCTGGAGAATAAACTTAGTCTGAGATTTTATGAGAAGCCATCAGGAAAAGAATGATGTTTCAGTGGTTAGTCTGGTGATGTATAGAGGTGAAGGGGGCAGAGAAGGGTTTAGGGCAGAGGAGGCAGCATTCTGGGTAGAGGGAAGAGCATGTGCATAGACCTGAATCTGGGGCGACTGTGGTGTGTAGGAGGGTGTTGGAGGGATTGAAAAATTCCAGTGTAATGGGAAGTCATTGAGGGATTTTACACAGTAAAGTAATTGATTATATTTACATTTCAAAGATATTCTGCCTGTCGTGTGGAGAGCAGATTTGTGGAAAAAGAGATGATGGTGGAATAGATGATCTGTTGATAGTGGGTACAGAAAGTAGATAAATTTAAGAAATGCTTAAGAGGAAATTTATTATTATTATTATTAATCCCCACCCAAGGATATGTTTGATCTTAGAGAGAAAGGAAGGGAGAGAGAGAGAGAAATAAAGAGAAACATCAAAGTGAGAGATAAATATTGATCTATTGCCTCCCATGTGCACCCCGCCTGGAGATCGAACCTGCAACTTGGGTATGTGCCCTGATCGGTAATTGAACGTGAAACCTTTTGGTGTATGGAATGATGCTCCAAACAACTGAGCCACTGGCCAGAGCTTAAGAAAAGATTTGATGGGACCTAATAGTTGAGGGCATGCAGGGGATGAGAGAACAGTCAAGGATGATTTTTGGGTTGAGCACCTGAGTTGGATAAGTGGATAAGACTGAGGAAAGGAGTAGGGGAAGTGTGTGTCGGGGGGGGAGGTGTATTGTATGACGCATGGAGGTCAGTGGGGAGTAGGCAATGTGGGTCTGGGTCTGGTTTTGGAGCTCACGAGAGAGAAGTGGCTGCAGGTGTAACCTTCTGCTGTCTGGCCTATAAGTGACGGTGAAGATATGGAAGAGGGCAGTCTAGCCCAGAGAGGGGTGCAGAATGAGACAGCAGGAGGGCCCCGTGTAGAGCTCTGCAGCAAACATTTGTACTTTCCAGGGGGACTGCTTTGAATCAATTAGTTATGAATTACTTAAATTCTGATTCGTTAATGATCACATCATTAGCAACCATGGAGAGCACTCAAATGATTTTCCCGGCTATTTTAGAGCAGCCATGATTTACATTTATTACTATTGATGGCAACAACCCACCTCTTATAAATTCAAACATGTGCCTAGCAGCTATTGGTAGAACTATTACAGGCTTCTTGTTAACAACCAATATCATTCCAGCCTCATCTACTCCAACCTTGACTTAACGGTAACAGGACTCTTGACAACTCGGCTTCTTTCCTCAAGAGTTACATCCATGACCTACAACTTAAGTCATAATTAGCACTCCAGTTTCCTGCATCCCCACCACTGTTTACTCCAATTTAGATATTTTGTTCAGCATTGAGGCCCACCTTTACACTTTTTTTTTTTAATTTAATTTTTATCCTCACCCGAGGACATTTTTCCATTTTTTTGTTCAGATGGAGTGGGAGGGAGAGAGAGGAAGAGAGAGAGAGAGAGAGAGAGAGAGAGAGAGAGAGAGAGAGAGAGAGAAACATCGACGTGAAAGGGACACATCGAGTGGCTGCCACCCACACAACCAACCAGGGCCAGGGACAAACTGCAACCAAGGTACGCGCCCTTAGCAGGAACCAAACCCGGGTCTCTCTGGACCATAGGCCGATGCTCTAACCGCTGAGCCAAACTGGCCAGGGCCACCTTTACACTTTTGATAGTTTGCTTATAATTTATGTAAAGCATTATACAAAACAAAAACCATTCCTCAAATATGCAGAGTCGTAAGTAAATAAGAATTCTGGGCAAGAGGTTTTTGGAAAAGGAGAATTAAATTCAATCTTTAAAAGACACAGTACTTTTGCCTGGTCAGTGTGGCTCAGTGGTTGGGCGTCGACCCATGTACCAAGAGGTCACCAGTTTGATTCCTGGACAGGGCACATGCCCAGGTTGTGGGCCAAGTCCTCAGTGGGGAGCATGCAGGAGGCAGCCAATCGATGTTCTCTCTTATCGATGTTTCTACTTCTTTCTCCCGCTCCCTTCCTCTCTCTAAAATCAATAAAGAAAAATAAATAAATAAAAGACACACTACTTTTGAAATGTCTTATTCCCCTTCAGTCACGAACATTTTAAATTTAGCTGTTCTCATTATTTGCATAGGAAGGGTGATTTTTCAGTGCGTTAGGGAGTGTCACATGGAGTTCACTAGAAATGTGTTATTTCACAAAATTCATTCACCTAATATGTTTCAGTTGGCAGATATTTCAGAGCATTCCAACCGAAGACGAGCCATTCTGGGCTGATGTGGTTCTGGGATTTCGAAGGATGACCGAGGCGGAGCTGAAGAAATTCCCCCAACACGTGTTTGGTCAGGCGTTTACGACGCTGAAGTGCGAAGGCACAGCCTACCTCCCGTGGCTGGAGAAGAGGTCAGTTCAGCAGCTCTTCGCTGCTTGCTTCACCGTCAGAGTCATAAACAACTTCTTAGCTATGCATAAAATATGTACTGAAAGTCCTCTGTGGCCCCGCAGAGCTCTTGCTTTGTGTCTTGTTGCTCACAAGTGGCGAGGGCTTCGTGAAGCCACTCGAAGGCCGAGTCTGAGCCCCAGGAGTGAGTCACACATGCTGGTAGAAGCACATCTCCTCCTTCCGGTGAGCACCTTGCTGCACGGTCTGCCTCCCCCCCAAGTAAATCCCACTTATTGAAATAGTATCTTAGTTTCCTTGTCTGTAAAATGGAGAAGTTTGGAAACTATGCTTCCGGCTATAAAATGAGATGATTTACTCTAGTTCTTGGAATGAGATAATCCTATGTTGATTATAAATTATTTTTCTCATTAGGGATAAAGAAAATAGAGTCATTCTTTTCTTTTGTTATAAATAAGAACTCTAAAACGGAGGACTTACCTAAATTGAGTAATGGCTTCCTCATCAAGGTTAGCCCCAAATACCTTGAACTGGCCTTTTGCCTTGGTTCACAGGACTTCCTGCTTCCTGTTAGTTAGGAAACATGTCAGGAGCATCTTTATTTGAGACCCATCTCTATAGTTTAGTCTATAAATTGCAGGCATGTTGGAGGTTATGAAACATTGGCCTTTCCAATGTCTAAATCTGTATATTTGGTGGATGAATAGGAATGCTGTGAATTAGTGTCTAATGTTAGAAAAGCTACTTGAGGTAAGCAGGTAACAATGATTTGGTCCCAGATATAGGATATGGAATAACTGATACAGAGAGTTCATTAATTTCATAATTCTTTGTTGGTCAAAAGAAAAGATAAAATATGATTACTTTTGTTAAGGAATTTATAACCTATTGGGGTGGTGGTGTGTATGTATGTGTATATGTGGGTTCATAGTTATATATTAATGAACAATTAGAGTAACACATGGTGAGGGTTAAGTACAGATTTAGGAGAGTTGAATGTGAGCACAGAGCAGAGAGTCCAAGTCCACTGGACACACCAGGAGCATCATTGTCTATTTTTGTAGCTTTGTAAGTACTCCCCTCACTTTTACCTCTTAGCAATTCATAGTGGTCATTTCACTCTTGTTAAGTACCAGTTTCATAAAACCCACATTCTTGTGCTTTGTTCATTGGGCCACTGCCTGTATGCTAAGTTTGTACCTGAATACATCAGTTAACAAACGGACATTTTGAACCATCGCACGACACTCTTTGCAGCAGCGCCAAACTATCCTGAGTGGCAGTCATGTGTAGTGTTGAATTTTGTCCTCATGTTATAGAAACGAATGGGAAAAAACCAGAAGTGCTAATGTTAGTGACAAACTTGCAGTATCATGTAATTTACCTTAATCCAAAGAGGAGAGATCGTTAAGCATGCCCAAAGTCACAGGGCTTTACTGTCAATACGTTGAATAATTTTTTTTATTATAATTTAAAAAATGGAGGAACCTGTACAAGATGTCGGGCCTAAAAAGTGATCTGTCATAAGAGAGTTTTATAATTTTGGGTATTGTTAGTTCTCTTGGGCTGAAGTTTCATTAAAAATTTATTGTTTGGCTTTCTCATCTTAGACTTTTGTCCAAATGTTCTGGGAAGTCTGTAAAAACCTGGCTGGAGTCCTGGCCGGTGTGGCTCAGTGGCGAGAGCATTGGCCCATGCACTGAAGGGTTAGGGATCGGTTCCCAGTCAAGGGCAAGTACCTGGGTTGCAGCTTCAACCCCTGACCCTGGTCGGAGTGTGTGGGAGAGGCAACTGATCCATGTGTCTCTCTTACATCGATATTTCTCTCTCTTCCTCTTCATCTCCCCATTCCTTGCACTCTCTCTCTCTCTAAAAAAAACAAAACAAAAAAAAACAACAACAAAAAATGGAGAACATATCCTTGAGTGAGGGTTAACCAAAACCACCAAACAACAACAAAAACCTGGCTGGAGCTCTGTGCTGTCTGGCAGATTGGGAAGAAGTGGTGAGGAAATCTCCCAGAGTGTTCCCATCACAGAGCCTGTCATGGGCTGGCCAAGGATCAGGGATGATCATGGCCATAGATAAGGGAAGTGGATGAACTCTTGTAAACCCTTTATCCAGATTACTAACATTTTGCTTTATCATCCTTTCTCTTTCTTCTTTATGCATATTTTCCCCCAGAACCATTAAAGAGAAAGTTACAGACTTGATACCCCATTATTACTAAATATTGCCATGTAATTTTCTAGGAACAAGGATATTCTCTTACATAAATATAGTACTATGATAAAACCTAAGTATTTATATTGATACCATACTATAATCTATGAACCTTGCTCATATTTTGCCTATTGTCCCAATAATGTTTCTTATAGCAATATATACATATTTCTGTTCCAGGATCCAATCCATGATCATGCTCACACATTACATTTAATTCTCATGTCTCTTTAGTCTCTGGTCTTTATCTTTTATGACCTTTACAGTTGTCTATTACTTTTATTATTTATGACCTTTTCAATTGTAGGACAGACTAGTTGTTTTATAGAATGTCCCTAAATTGGGGTTTGCTTGATGTTTTCTCATGATTATGTTGAAGTCACACGGTAGCATAGTCCATCCCTCAGAGGAGACAATAGTCCCCAGCTCATGAGCTGGTGAAGGGAGAGGGCTTTGGCTGAGCGCATCCTTCGACCCACTGACTCATTTCTCATGCACCGCTGGAGAAGGGGTCCTCAAGGTGACCCAGAGGAAGGAGGATATAGCTCAGATTCGCCAGGGTGGGTTCTGAGACCTGGGAATCGAAATCGGGAGGTGGGGTATAAGAGTTTCTCCCAATCTTTCACCAAAGCTTTGGCTATTAAATATAACAGAAATTCCCCCTGGGAGAGAGGGCACATGTTGTTTTAAGGGACAAATAGTAGAGAAGATCCTTGGGAGATGGGGAGTGTTGATGGGTCAGAGAGAGAGCATGAAGGCCCAGGACACCTGAAGATGTGGCAGATGGGGTGTCATGTGGGAGACGGTGGAGGCAGGAAAGCCAGCGTCACTCCAGTGTTTGTGTCCCTCCTCTGAGGAGCTTTCCTAAATCCCCCAGTTTGCCCGGGCTGCCCTGGGCAGTAAGAAGCTTCTCCTTGGTAGAGGAGGGTGGGCTTGTCCCCACACTGGACTGTGAGTGACAGCCAGTCCCCAGCATGGCCACAGTCCGTCTGTTCTCCCATTCTTGTTGAGAGTGACCGTTTTGGCTCTGGGGCTAACCTCAGTGTTTTCACACGAACATGTACAGATGACTCTCAAACAGCATGGGTTTGAAGTGTTTGGGTCCATGTGTACGCAGATTTTCTCCTACATGTCCTATGTCCCCAGGTTTTGCATCTGTGGATTCAACCAATTGCAGATGAGGACAGCTGACTGTGTGCAGTATTCTGTGCCATTTTATATAAGAGACTGGAGCATCTGCGCATTAGGGTATTCACTGGGGCTCCTGAAATGAATTCTCCATGGATACCCAGAGACTGTACTTAAATTTTGGGGAGTCAAAGTTATTTTTGACTATATGGGGGTTAGCACCCCTAATACCTGCCTTGTTCAAAGGTCAACTGTACTATCTGCCTGCTTCTAAAGTATCACCTTCTAGAAAACATACCCTTATTTCCATAATAACCTTATTTTCAAGCCAATCTCTAACTGTGGGACAAAGTCTGGGAAACATCCTGCTACCCTCTCATTAGTTGGAAGCCTGCTGTCAGCATTTTCTTTACTTAAAACCCAAGTGATTGGTACTTCATGCCAGTGCTTCATGCCAGTGGAGCAAGCTGGGGTTTGTGCCTTGAGGCACACTGCTTACTGTCTGTTTTTAGGTGACAAAGTCAGAAAGAAGAGGCCTGAGGGTTTTTTGTTTTTTTGTCCCCAGGGTCTTGGGGAGGCCTTTTCCAGCTTATTTGTTTGATATACTAGTCCACTGTGACCTTGGGCTGGGACATGAAGAGATCCTAGCAATGCACCCCACCCCCTTACACACAACCTAGGGTCCCGGACACCTCATACTTCCTCCTGGCACCCACTGTGGGGCAAGCACAGAGAGCCTGCAGAGACCTTCCCTCAAGGCCTGGCCTCTGGCAGGAAGGCTGAGGAGAAAAGGGGGGGCACAAGTCCCCTTTCCTCTCCATGGAGGCTCTGTGGGGCAGGACTCCTCCAAGCCCAAGGCAAACCTTCCAGGACAAGGATTTAGGCCAGGGGATGGTGGTGGAGGATGGGGGCGGAGGGGGAGAGGCAGGCAGTGGGCCCCCTGGGGCTCCCTCTGTGGGCTGCCACCTTCTCTCTGCCACCAGAAGCCACACAATCTGCTCCTTCCTCACACCCAGGGTCTGTTGTGTTGCCTCCTACACCCCTTTTACACAATGTAAATGTTCATCCTGCAGGGTTTGGACTCAAAAACAGGCATTTCACTCAGCAAGCCAGAAAAGAAAAAATGTTTTTAACCACAAATTAGATCTTTATCATTTGTCAGAGATCAGAAGGGATCATCTCCCTCTCAAAATAATATCCATAACAAACAAAAAATCCTGAGGTTTAATCAGCCCTGCAGACCATGTTATATATCTTAGGCCAGTGGAGTCATATTCTGCTGCTTTTTACTTGCCTCTTCCAGGAACTGAATCATAGGGCAACAGATCACATCAGGAATGTGACAGTTTGTCCCTGCCTGACAAATGTCTGACTTGCAAAGTTACGTACAGCAGACCTCTGCTCCCCGAGCCCAACGCATGCCATGCCTGCTAGGGCACAGCAGCCAAGAGACGTCAGGTGGGTGTAGGAATTGCCTCTAGTCCCAAGAGCAGGGAAGGGAAGAGGGACTCCCCTTTGCTCCTGTGTGTGTGTGTGTGTGTGTGTGTGTGTGTGTACAGAAGTTCTCCCAGTGAGTTGAAGGAAGGGCTGTGAAGACAATCATTCCCATGTTTATGGATCAGGCAGATGTGGTCCAGCAGGGGGCTGGATTTTAGGCTTGGTAAAAATGGACACTTGGGTTTTAGGGTGATGACCAGAGGACATTGAGCTGGGGCTATTTAGTGAGCACAGCTTCTTCAGTCCTCCCTTGTTGGTAGTCGGGGCAATTTCCTCATGGGTAGTTGGGGCAATGGACTTCTCCCTGTCCAGGGTGAAGTCTTGCTCAGTTGCAAGAAGCCCCATGAACAAAGTCACCAAGCTTCTTATACCCTCAATCATGTCATGCAGAACCTCTAGAATAACTACTTCATATGGTCATAAAGAAGCCCTGTAGGTATCTGGTCACCTAATTTAATACCCAGCTTCCAAGTATGGTTTCTTCCTACAATTTTGTGCCACCTTAATGCATTGGCCAGGACTTTGCAATAATGACTGAGTATCACCACGTGGTCACATTGCAACCACACAAGGGGGATTGGGCCCTGGGCACATTCAGTAAGTTTCCTCCTGGGGTATGAGGCCTGGGTGGGACCTAGCACAGCAAGCCTGACAGGGCTTTTCTTTTTTTAATTTTTTTTTTTTTTTTCCTCATCAGAGGACATTTTTCCATTTTGTTGTTCAGGTAGAGTGGGGGGGAGAGAGAGGAACAGAGAGAGAGAGAGAGAGAGAAACATCGACGTGAAGGGACACATCGAGTGGCTGCCACTCACACAACCGACCAGGGCCGGGGACAAACTGCAACCGAGGTACGTGCCCTTAGCGGGAACCGAACCCGGGTCTCTCCAGACCGCAGGCCGACGCTCTAACCGCTGAGCCAAACCGGCCAGGGCTCTGACAGGGCTTTTCAACAACCTGTCCCCTATGATGGTTTAAGGAGTTTCTAGGTGAAGGATGGGCTTTCACCAGTAGCTCAACCAGCAGGATACCCTTGAAATAAAAAAGAAGGACATTTACATTTATCAAATTCTTACATAATTGTCATAAAAAAACCCAGTGAGCTCAGCAGTCTTGTCCCTAGGTTTTAGCTAAGCAAACAAGGTCAGTAAGTTTAAGTAATTTGCTCAAATTCCAAAGCTGGTAAATTCTCTTATTTTTCTGAATTAGGAGAATAATTCTGAATTCTAATTGGGATGATTGGAACACAGAACATTATGTTTAAGTATTAGCCCTCTCATGCTAACATCCCTGTGGTAGAAATAAAGGGGGCATGTCACCCTTGTCCCAACCATCTAGTTAGGGTAGTGGTTCTCAACCTTCCTAATGCCGCAACCCTTTAATACAATTCCTCAGGTTGTGGTGAGCCCCAACCAAAAAATTATTTTTGTTGCTACTTCATAACTGTAATTTTACTACTGTTATGAATCATAATGGAAATATCTGTTATGCAGGATATATTTTCATTGTTACAAATTGAACAGAATTAAAGCATAGTGATTAATCACAAAAACAATATCGTGAAATATTTATTTCTAATTACAAATAAATTAAATTTTCCCTTGAAGCATGGTGTAGCATGGGTAACAGTCTTAATATAGCAACAGTAAACTACATTGCTACATTTTGCAACAGTATGCGTAAAAAGTCAACCATGTGTGAAGGTTGAGATTGCTTCTTTCTCACCAGATCAGAAATTCTCAGGGCAGTCTTTGCAAGAGCACAATGATCATCTTCCACAAGTCTACTTCTGTATTTAGACTTGATAACCATCAAGCTGGAAAACCCTGTTTCACAAAGATATGTTGTTGGAAATGGAAGAAGGCCCAAAACAGTCTCAGACAGAACAAGATATGACTGCAAACATTTGATCCAGAATTTTGTAATTGGCATTGCAGAGAAATCAGTTCTTGCTGCATCACTGTTAATAAGTTCAATGAACTTCTCTTGTGCTGTTTCAGGAACATCTTCAACTTTGACTGTGAATAGGCTTCTGGTGAGTGCAAATGGGGTGTCAGGTAGATTTGGAAAGTATGATGAAATTTTGTTTGCAAGCATGGGAAAGTGTTCTTTCACAGAAATTATCATCATAATCCTTTTGTCTGGTTCAATGTCATGTTTCTCAAAGAAAGCAGATAAGGTAGGCAACATGTAAATTTTATTTTCATCCCGTTTTTTTTTTTTTTTTTTTTTTTTTTTGCCAAAGCTGAAGTTTCATTTCGAATGACCGGATCTTTTCAGACAAATCAAGGCATGTGCATTTGGTCCTTACAGTGATAAATTTAACTCATTCAAGATGGCAAAGATGTCAACCAAGTAAGCTATTTTCTGAGGTTCACTTTTATCACTGAAAAGTGCTTTGGACTGTGTTCTTGCTTTCTGATTAAAAAACGTTTTGAGTTCGTCACGAAGCTCAAAAACACGTTTTAAAACTTTTCCTGTCGACAACCATCTCACTTCAGTGTGAAATAGCAGATCATTGTTCAGCACATCCAACTCATTGCACAGTTGGGAAAACAGTTGACTGTTTAAAGTGCTCACCTTCACAAAATTGACAGAACTTAATGACACTTTTCATTACTTCTTGTAACTCTTGTGGCAGCGTCTTTGTTGCTAATATTTGCAGATGAATCATACAGTGGGTTCTGATGACTTTTGGTGACTCATTCAGTACTAAACATTGAAATCCAGATTGAAATCCTAGCATAGCTGGAGCACCATCTGTGAAAACACCACAAACCTTTTCCCAAGAGATCTTATGCTCTTTCAGAAATGAACCAACTGTGTCAAATACATCACATGCAGTAGTTGTCAGTTCAAGAGGTTTGCAAAAAAGAAACTCATCTTTAAAGTCGCCATCATTAATATACCTCACATAAACCAGTAACTGTGAACAGTTTGCAACATCTGTAGATTCATCAAGCTGGATGCTAAATATTGAAAGTGGAGCAGATTTAATCTCCTGGATTACCTGATCGAGAATATCAGCAGACATGTCATCTATTCTTATGTGGACAGTGGCATTAGATAAGGAAATTGTACTCAATTTGATAACAAATTCGTCTCCGATCATAACTCGAACAATGTTTTTGGCTGCTGGCAACATAAATCCTCAGCAATGATGTGAGGTTTCATAGCTCTGGTGATTCTGAGTGCCACCAAATATGAAGCTTCAACGGCTGCTACATTTTGTTTGTGGTACTTGCCACCAGTGTCAAGTCTGGCTTTCTTGACTCTATCTGCTTTGCTTCTAAAGTAGTTGGTATCCTTGACAGCAAAGTTCAGATGCTTACTATCAAAATGGTGTTTTAGTTTGTTCATCTTCATAGATTCAGCTGATAGAACCTCACAACAAATAACACATTGTGATTTCTCAATTCTTGCTGTAATTATTGAGGTAAAACCAAACTGCAAAAAATCCTCAATATATTTTCTTTTCTTAACATTCTTCTCTACACGATCCATTGTCATGGGATGGTTTGCTAATGAAAATAATATATAGCAATAGCTTTAATAATACAAAAGATGATGCATGACATAGTTTAGTCAATACAGTTCATTAAAGTTTCCTATGATTTACCACTCTCTGTATTGTTTTTTTTTTACACACCTGTTACTATCACAAGGGGGCAGTATTCACATCAACCACAGCTGAATATAAAAAGACCTTTCAGCATCCAGATTAAGTTCCCATGGTACAGATATTTTTTTTGCAGTAGTTGATTTTACAGTACATGATTTTACATTTACCCAATAATTATAATTCATGAAGTGTTGTTTTACCTCCAGTACTGCTGCTTTGAACACAGTAGCTGCTTTTAACAGAGTAGCTGCTTTCTACACAGTAGCTACTCTCTATACATGTGTGACTGGTCCGCATAAGTACATTATGGTGCCAATCTTGTCACATACACCTGTATTTGTACAGGGTGTATGTGATGGGGTTGGCGCAGTGATGTCATCATGCCAGGTACTGGTATGTGGGCGTATCTGCATGTGGGCACACTCACCTGGAGATGGATAGAGGAGCGGTGTCTCAGTTCCTAAGACCTTCGGAAATATGTGTTTTCTGATGGTCTTAGGTAACCCCTGTGAAAGGGTTGTTCAACCCCCAAAGGGGTCGCGGCCCACAGGTTGAGAACCACTGAATTAGGGAGACCAGACTAATACAAAGGAACAAGCAAGAATTAACAATATGTGACAAAATGTTCATAGCAGTTAATTTAGGTGCTAAATAAATGACATAAACAAGAAATACTTGGGTATTTAAAATACCAAATTAACCTGGTATTTATTTGGTATCTAGGATGATATAGAAATTCTACTAAACATAAAAAAACAAAGTACAGGGTGGGGCAAAAGTAGGTTACAGTTGCGAGTACACAAAACAAAGTAGTTCTTGTATTATTATTTATTAAATATTGTTTTCCATGCAAACAACTGTAAACCTGCTTTTGCCCCACCCTGTATATAATTTCCCTGAACTTGAATCTTTGAAATAGGTTTTTATTTAGGTTCAACTTTTGGAATCCCCAGTTTCCAAGGATGTGAAGCAATTGATGGCTAGAATTTGGTCTGCGTGGAAGCTCTTGAGGTGTTTGTTGCCAAGTTTGTGTCCATCTCTTCCTGTGAGGGGTGGAGCAGGAAGCTACCAAGGCTCACCTCTTGGTCTCTTTTTCTCCCCAGGGTAAAAGAAAGTGGGGGCCTGATGCTCACCCAGCGAATAGAAGACCTGTGGGAGCTTCACCCGTCCTTTGACGTTGTGGTCAACTGTGCAGCCCTTGGAAGCAGACAGCTAGTGGGAGACTTGAAAATTTTCCCCGTGAAGGGTCAACTACTCAATGTTCAGGCTCCCTGGGTGAAGCATTTTATTCGAGATGGGAGTGGGTTGACATATATTTACCCCGGTGCATCCAACGTAACCTTGGGTGGAAGTAGGCAAGAGGGAGACTGGAATCTATCTCCAGATGCAGAAATTAGCAAAGATATTCTCTCCCGATGCTGTGCTCTGGAGCCTTCTCTCCAGGGAGCCTGGGACATAAAGGAGAAGGTGGGCTTGAGGCCCTACAGGGCAGGCATTCGGCTGCAGATAGAGGTCCTAGCCCGGGATGGCCAGAGGCTGCCTGTAGTCCACCACTATGGCCACGGGAGCGGGGGCTTCTCTCTGCACTGGGGTACTGCTCTGGAGGCTGCCAGACTGCTGAGTGAGTGTGTTCAAGCCCTCAGGACCCCAGCTCCCAAGTCAAAGATGTAAATGACATAAAATGACAGCAAATGGTCCAGTAAATGACTATTGATCAAAATAGAATTTTTTTTCAGAATTAGAAATGATACAATGTGTATGAATAGATTTAGAACTAGTACTAATCTAATCTAGTGCTAATCTGGTACTAGACTTATATCTATTACTAAACACATGGGATAAAACGTTCTATTTTGATTTTTAAAAAGATTACTTTTAGATCTAGTGTGCAAGGATCTATGCCAATTAACATGGCTGATAACTCCGCAGGAGGAGATAATGTATGGACATTGCTGAACTCACTGTCAGCTGCAGAGCTGCCCATGATGCTCACAGGTTGTAGTCAAATGGGCATGATAGTCCCTGTAGATAAAATTACACAGTGATCATGCAGTATAGGTTTATTCCATTTAATGGAAAACAGAGCATGACTCCTGCTAGGAGAATTCCTGGTAGAAGACACTGATGAAGTTACCCAGAGACACAGCATCAACTCAGGGTCAGTCCCCAAAGGGTCATACTTTGCATCGCCACAGGCAGTTGAGAGTGGGCATGTATGGTTGACTGCGCCTAGCATTTCTGAAGACTGAAGACCATGTGCAGCCAAAGAGCTAATTTGCTAATTAAGGTGGAACAATCATTCTGAATAAAATATAACCAGAGTTTTCTGCAAGTTGTTAAAAAGTACTGGGAAGGAGGGGCATGTGTCTCATGATAAAATGAATTTGGGAATTGCTGTATTAAATATATCTAAATGGTTTCTTGACATGGGCCTGCTCAGAGCCTTCAATGCTTTTATGTGCATTGTGAATCCTCAGGAGGATTTTTGGCTTAATGAATGGTAAAGGAGGGGCTATTCATTGAGGTAAGGAAGCTTGGGAGAAACAGAGGTAAGTTTAATTTTAATTTTGGGGGGAGATGGTGTATTATGTTTAGAGATGAATTGTATTTAGAATATTCTGAGGGAGATGTGGGGTTGGCAATGAGAAGGTGGGAAATAGAAAGCCCCTAGGACAGCTTTATTTTTACTTTTTGCTCATTGAGCTTTTGCATCTGATTTTGTTTGAAGATAAAATGCTGCTGGGAGAGAGAAAGAAGGTGTGCGGGGTGGCGGGAGAGAGAAAACGTTCAAGTGTGGGTTCTTTTCTATAGATTTCCACCAGGGGGTGGTATTGTATCAAATTCAGATACATTTGAAAATTTAGAAATGACTAGAAATAAAAAAAGGATGGATACCACATGTGTTGAGTGAATATGTGATTATTTTGAGTTTTTATGCCCCAAATGCCTGTTGTTCTAAATTCTGTGTAAAGTGTTTGATAAATGTACAAACTTAGACTGAAAATACACACAGACCCACACTAACACACTTTCATAACATGACATCTGTGAGAAATAATATGTTAAGATAAAGTGGCATTTTAAAGAAGGGGAAATAAATTGTTTAATGGTAAAAAAATAAAAATGAAGACTGCTGCTCAAAATAGGTAGTCTGTCCGTCCTTTCCACGGTGGCTTAAAGTGTTTGAATGTGTGGCTGTGCCCCGGGTTCCGGTCCGGTCACTTTCATGGCATGGCAGCAGGCTCACACTATGACCTCGTCTCTTTGCTCCTCTCAGAGTTTGATTTCACTCTGCAATTTATATTTCAGCGCCCAACACTGAAAGACTGAAAGATTGGAGGCTTCTTGAGAAAGGCGTCATGGCTGCAGCCCTGTTTCATGTTTCTAATGGCAACGTCTCTGCTCCCAGGGTCTCTCAAAGGTTTTGGTCAGTAATGCTGACCTGGGTTGCACCTTAGAATCACCTGGGAGGTTCTGGGAAAATACTGGTGTCTACCCTGCTCTATTACATTAGAATCTTTGGAGGTGGGATGGGGCCGTGATATTAGTGTTTGTTCAAAATTACCCATAGGATTCTAACCGACAGCTGGGGCTGAGGGTCACTGCGCACTGTCCCCGGCTGGTCTCCGCACAGGGTTCTGCTGCTGCCATTACCACTAGCCTGCCCTGCCTTTCTCGCTTCTTGGGGCATTGTCTTGAGGGTGTGCTCACATAAGCAAGCGTGTCTTTAGGCATTTCTGGTCAAGGTGGCCAATAGGAATTAGCTGTCTCCCAAAGTAGGTCTCTAGAAATGCTGGGAATCACCTTGCTGGCTGTAGGTCAGCCACTTGTAGACAGCTCTCTGTCTTTGTCTGAAAGATGAGAGACAGTATGCAAACTGGTGATGGTCAAACCATGTGTAAAAAGAGAACTCTGACCTACAACTGGCAGCAACCTGCCGAGTAAACCAAACCCTTACTTATAATAACCAGCTCCAGGAGTTGGTCTGCTATAGGTCAGATTTGCAGGAAGCCAGGTTGCTCTCCCTAGTAACAATCTGGAATGTCAAACAATCATTTATGAAACAATTGGCCCCAGATAACCAGGCATTTCATTAATAACTGACAGTCTCATAGAATATAGAAAGATGACGGTGGGCAGGACCGGAGGGAGGGTGAGTGTGTGAGAGTGTGTGTGGATGTGAAGGTGGACGACCAAACCAGAGCAGTGCAGAGCCACGGAGCAGAAGGTTCCTGTGCTGTGGACGGGAGCAGCCAGCTACCATGGTAAATGGCCCTTCAGGGCGCTTCTCCCTGCACTGCGGGGAGGTCCCACCATTTTGGAAGATCCTGGGTATTCCCCGGGAGGAGGCAGTGGGAACGGCTAGGGCCCAGTAACCTGAGCCCACCAGCACACCTGGCACCATTGGACCAGTGGATACTCTGTGTCAACACAGACCAGTGCACAGCAGTGGAGCTCCCAAGGTGCTGGTCCCAAAAGCCACATACAGCCCGGAGCCCAGCACCATCCCCAATAGTAGCAGCCCGATCAGAGTGGAGATATACCCCAGCAACAGAGGCTGGGGAGCAGACATCCATCCCCAGGCAACAGAGCACAGACCAGCAGCTGAGACCCATCCCCAAAAATTACATCCTCAAAAAGCTGAGCAGGAGTTGAGCCCCACGGGGCAGCAGCACTACCCAGCCGCCAGTGGTGGGACCTGGGGCTCCACAGAGGCCTGTGTGGTCCAGTAGCCCACAAGAGCAGTGGGAAGCCAGAGCCAGAGAGAGACTGGTGCAATCCAGCTGCCCGCCCATGAGAACTGCAGGGTGCGGGGGCACCAGAGAGGCCTGTGCAACCCAGCAGGGACTGTGTGATCCAGTTACTCACAGGACCTGCAGGGTGCTGAAACACTTGAGAGGCCTGTGCGACCCAGCAGGGACTGCATGATCTAGTTACCCATGGGGCCGGTGGGGTGCTGAAGCACCAGAGAGGACTGTGCAATCCAGCAGGGACTGCGTGATCTAGTTACCCATGGGGCCGGGGGGATGCTGAAGCACCAGAGAGGCCTGTGCGACCCAGAAGCCCATAACATATGCATAGAGCCAGGTCCCCAAAGGGACTGTGTGATCCAGTTGCCCATGGGACTTGCAGGGTGTGGAGGCACCAAAAAGGCCTGTGCAACCCAGCTGCACACAAGATAGGCACAGAGGATCTGAAAATGGAGGTGAAGTGAATGGAAGCTACCCAGACAATCTCTCAGGACCAAAAGGGAATTACAACTAAAATAAAGACAAATCCTAGGAAAAAAGCAACAGAAAAGCAGCAGGACAGGACCATATGACCAAAAACACTGGTAGGATCTGTGGAGGCACGAGAGGGTGGTGGGCTGGGAGCTCATGGACAGTAGCAGTCTTAGCTGTGAGCAGCACCCTTGGGGAATAAAGACCAAGCCCACTCCACAGCGTAGACAGACAGGACAGAGTGCTAGAATACCAACAGCCACTCACCTGGGGGCTACAGCCTGGGAGGGCAGACCGGGCTGAAACTCTATAGGGACACCGGGATTTGGAAGGCACTCAGAGATTTGCTGAATTGTGGCCACAAAGGACAGTGGCCAGTGGGCTCCTTCTGGGCTGTGGGGAAAAGCAGCAGCCCCGCCCTCCTCGGAGATTCAGCATTTCCCAGGCGAGGCAAAGAAATGCAAATTGAGGCTCATTAACAACCAGCATCTATCCCACTGTCAAGAAATCCTCTTATGCAGAACACCAGGGCTACATTCCAAGACACTGAGTAACTGAGAATACTAGCCATCAGGAAAAAGCTAGAGGATAACTGAACCTTTCTTGGGCTTGCAAATCTACCTGGGAAAGTAAGACTTGACATTGGTGTTTGACGTGGACTCACCCAGGCTCATCCAAAACCAGTAGAGGGAGCCACAAACAGCAGAACACCAACACCCACAGGGAAAATTTGGCAGGCTCCAAAACCCACTGAGATAGCCAAAATGGTGAAACAAAAAAACAAATCCCAAATGAAAGAACAAGAGAACTTTATCGAGAATGAGATAAATGAAATGCAGTTAAGCAAGTTATCAGAGGTAGAGTTCAGAGCCATGATCTTAAGGAAGCTCAACAGCATGAATAAAGACATCAGCACCATGAGTAAAGATATAGAAACAATGAAAACCAACCAAGTGGAAATGAAGAATGACATAGCAGAAATTAAGAACACATTGGAAGGACTAACCAGAAGAGTAGAGGAAGCTGAGGACCGGATCAGTGAATTAAAAGACAGGGTAGAAAAAATCAACCGATCAAAATCAAAAGGAAAAAACAATGAAAAAACAGGAAGACAGCTTAAGAGAACTGTGGGACAACTGGAAACATAATAACATTTGCATCATAGGAGTACCCGAAGAGGAAAAAAATGGGCACGGGTTAGAAAATATATTTGAAGAAATAGTGACAGAAAACTTTCCTAATTTGGTGAAGGAAGAAAGCATTCAAGTTCAAGAAGCACAGAGAGCTCCAAGTAAGAAGAACCCAAACAGGCCCACCAAGACACATAGTAATTAAAATGCAAAAAATTAAAGACAAAGAGAGAATACTAAAGGCAGCAAGAGATAAACAACGGGTTACCTACAAAGGAACCCCCATAAAGCTATCAGCTGACTTCTCAACAGAAACACTACAGGCCAGAGGGGAATGGCATGAGGAAATCAAGGTCATGCAAAACAAGGATCTGAATCCAAAACTACTCTACCCAGGAAGCTATCATTCAAAATAGAAGGTCAGATAAAGAGCTTTCCAGACAAAAAAAGGCTAAGGGAATATATTAACACCAAACCAGCACTGCAAGATATGCTAAAAGGACTGCTGTAATTCGTAGAAGAAATAGGAAGAAAAATAGATCCACACTAAGCAAAAATGGTAATAAAGAAGTACATATCAATTATCACTTTAAATGTGAATGGTTTGAATGCTCTAATAAAAAGACACAGAGTAGCTGACTGGATAAGAAAGCATGAATCACATTTATGTTGTTTACAAGAGACTCACCTCACAACAAGACTCACATAGGTTGAAAGTGAAGGGATGGAAAAAAATCTTTCAGGCAAACAGAAAGCAAAAAAAAGCTGGGGGAGCAATACTCATATCTGATAAAGTAGATTTCAAAATAAAGACCATAACTAGAGACAAAGAAGGCGACTACATAATATTGAAAGGATCTATCCAACAGGAAGATATAACCTTGGTAAACATATATGCACCCAACATAGGAGCACCAAAATATATTAAAAATCTTCTGGAGGACTTCAAAGGAGAAATAGACAGCAATACAATCATAGCAGGGAAGTTCAATACCCCACTGACATCACTGGATAGATCTTCTAGACAAAAAATTAACAAGGAAACACAGACTCTAAATGAAGCACTAGATCAAATAGATTTAATAGATATCTGCAGAGAATTACACCCAAAACTGCAGAATTCACATTCTTCTCAAGTGCACATGGGACATTCTCAAAGATAGACCTCATCTTAGGGCACAAACTAAGTCTCTACAAGTTCAAGGAGATTGAAATCATATCAGGCATCTTCTCAGATCTCAGTGGCATGCAACTAGAAATCAATTGCAACAAGAACATGCAAAGACATTTGAAAACATGGAGGCTAAATAGCAAGTTATTGAACAATGAATGGGTTACCATGGAGATCAAGGAATAAATAAAAAACTTCCTGGAAACCAATGAAAATGAACACACAACAACACAAAATTTATGGGATGCAACAAAAGCAGTTCTGTGAGGGAAGTTCATAGCACTACAGGCCTACCTCAAGAAACAAGAAAAATTTCTAATAGACTATCTAACCTCACAACTTAAAGAACTAGAAAGCAAACAAAAAGAAAACCCGCAAGCAAGTAGAAGGAAGGAAACAGTAAAGATCAGAGCAGAAATAAATGACATAGAGACCAAAAAACAGCAATTCAAAGGATCAATGAAACAAAGATCTGGTTCTTTGATAAGATGAACAAGATTGATAGACCATTAGCTAGACTCACCAAGAAACAAAGAGCGAGAACCCAA